CGGGTCCGCGCCCCGCCTCCGCCGCCCGGGGCCCCCACGGCCCGCCCCGGCCCGGCCCGCGGCGGCGGCGGCAACCGAGTGTCACGGCGCCATTGCTCTCCTGCCTCCGATCAGCACCGTGTCAGGAAGGAGAGGCGCTCCTTTCCCCCCCGGGGGAGCCGGGGCGGCGGCCTGCGGCGGCGACCGGGGCGGGGAGGGGGGGGACCCCGCGGGGGAGGCGGCGGGACGGGGTGTGGGAGGGGAGCGAGCCCCACCGCCGCAGCGGCCGCCTCCTCCCGCGCCCAGCCTCAACTTTTTGTGCAGCCCGGAGCGGCGCGGGGGCCCCCCGCCCCCCGAGCCCCGCGGTCCAGCCCGCGGCTCCCCGCCGGGGACGCGCGGCGGAGTTTGGGGGGCCGGCTGCCCCCCGCTCCTCCCCGAGCAAACTTAGCGGCGCGGCCAGCCAGCCCCACAGCCATCTTCCCGGGGAGGCGGCCGCTGCCCCGCGGCTCCGCGGAGCCGATCGCCGCCCGGCGTCCCGGGCGCGCAGCCCGCCCTGCATCCCCCTCCCCTCCCGCGGAGCGCCCAACTGCACCGGGACCCCACCGCGGCGGCAGCTGCTCCCGCCGATTCGCCCATTCAGCTGCCCCCGCGGTCCCGCTGCCCACCTACCTCCTGCGGGTGCAGAGCGCTGTCAGCCCTCCAGTCCGCCGCCCCGCCGGCCGCCGTGGTCTCCCTTCCGGGCAGCACCGCTCCCGGCCGCAGCAGCAGTTCCTGCGCCGGGTTCCCCACTCGCCCCGATTTACTGCCACAATCCACCAAATAACAAGCTGTTGAGCAGACTCGCTTCTACACGAACTCCCATTGGCTGCCCATGACGCCGAATCGCTTCGGATTGGAGCTCGCCGTCTGCCCTTCTCATTGGATGTAGCGGCGAAACTTCCATGATTGGTGCGGAAAGCAGCAGGTAGGGCAGCTTCCACTTCTGATTGGGCGGATCCGGAGGCCCACGTTATTGGAGGACGGAGGGTTGAGTAAGAGAGCCCAGAAATGTGATTGGAAGAGCGGACTCCGGATGTGCTTGGCCGAGCACGGATTGGAGAACGGAGGGGTCAGGAAGAGCGGTTCCGCACGGGGATTGGACGGTGGCGTGTCCCATGGAAACGGAATCCAGAACTGCGGCCGGGGTTTTGCAAGGGGGCGGAGCCGAGTCTTCCCCAGGCGCCTGCGCCTGACCGGTTCCCCGGCGCCATTTTGTCCCGGCAGCAGGAGCGGCGGCTCTTATCCCATTTTCTGCGTCTGGAGGGAAGGGAGCGGACCCTGCCCGGTAGGTTGGCTTCGGCGCGGCGCCGCCTTACCGTTCGCCCCAGGCCGACGCCGGGCGAAAGGCGGAGGAGTGGCGGAGTCGCCCGAGAGCTCTGCCGAAGGTTCGCGGTGCCGGGTGGCCTCGGGGTGGCGCAGCGCTCGGAGCACCGGAAGCGAGGGCCGCCATGGGCGCCGCCGGCCCGGCGGCCGGCGGGGGGGGCGTGGAGGAAGGGGGCGAGGCCGGGCCGCACGCGTGCTCGCCTGAGGCGGCCCTTCACCCCAGAGGGCGACCCGGGACTGACACGGTTCCCCCCGGTTTCTAGAAACGTCCAGATGGAGGAGCTGTGCGGAAACGCGGAGGCTCGGGCTGCCGGGACGCCGGACCTGCCGGGACGGACGCCGCCGCCGCCGCCGTGACCTTCGACGAGCGCCTCGTCGCTGCACGAAGCGTGCGCCCTGCCGCCTTTTCAGAGAAGGTGGTGGAGGTTCCGGGACGACCGGAAACGTTAGATCCTCCCGACCGGATGGACGTGGGTTTAATCGGCAGCGCCTTGTCTTGTTAAGGGAGACAAAAACTTGATTGAATTGCCAGTAACAACTCACGCGCTAAGTTAAGATGGGAAGTGTTGAACCCCAGTAAATCGTGCCCAGCCGAGGACGTTCTAAACCCAGTCGCATCTATCTTTCTTTCTTTCTTTCTTTCTTTCTTTCTTTCTTTCTTTCTTTCTTTTTCAGAATTATTAAGATTGTGAAATGTCTTTTGGTAGTTTCACTAAGTCGTTAACTGTTTTAAGTCTTGCTGCTTGGTTTTGGTAACTCTCAAAACTAGAATATAGTTAAGTAAATGATGCATTGACGATTAAATCTGCGTTTGTTTTTCTAGAGTCGGGCTGAAGAAAACAGACACCCCCGTGACAACTCCAGATATCACCGAGGTGAGTCCTAATGTCATTTATTGAAATTTTGTGGATTGGGGCAGGTGTGTGCTGAGTTTTTCTGTAGACAACAGCTGAATACTAGGCTATGTGAGTGGTTGTTGACAGGTGTTTCCTTAGTTCAAGCTTTCAAATGAGTCGGTTTAGCTAGCTTCCTGACCTTCTGCTTGCGAGAGATCCACAGATAAGGGCATCCTGAGTAATTAAGTTCCCTGATTAGGGGTGTTCTCCTTTCCGGAGACAGGATCTTGGTTGTCCAAGCCGGTCTGGACCTTGTCGTGGCTTTCCAGTGACCGGGTAGCCAGCATGACCTTGACCTGAAGTCCCTGCGTCACTGCACCTCAGTGTCATGATTTGACCCTCCCACCCCTGTATTCGATTTAAAAGTCTGCTGAGAAAGGCCTGTTTAGTGCGTGTTTATGAGTGAAGATTTTCGGTTTTCTGTTGTTACTCTGTATTTCAAGGAAAGTAGACTATTGACCCTCCATGGTGGCGCTCACCCACTCGTAATTCCTCTGCCAAGTATATTGTAGCCGATGCCGATGTGCGTTTGAAAATTGATGAAAAATTGCACTCTTTCCAACCAAATTATAAAGCTTCTTCTGTACTCATGGGATTCAGAACGCTTTTTACATGATTTTCTTTTTGAAGACATAGTTGTGGTTGTTTTGTTGCTTGTTTTTTACTAAGAAAAACATTAGGACCCTCAGAAGTACTTTCTCTCTAAAGCACATTCCATGGAGATCTGGATAGAGGAGTTATGATTTAAAGTTTTGGGTTTTCTGGGATTGAATGCAGGCCCCAGAGCAGCATAACAGGCAGGTGACCTCCAGTGAACTATTCTTTCAGCCGGATGCACCTGGATTTGTGAGAACTTTCCTGGTTTTTTGTTTTGTTTTGTTTTTTTGGTGTGTGTGAAAGCCACAATAAGCCACTTGAGTTTTACAGAATGTTGTACCTAAAAACTAATACCAGCAGCTAAAATTTTGAGGCTTCTTGGTTTCCTTTGACAATCCTGGCTCTTCTTTGGAGTAGATTTTGAGAATTAAAAAACTTTCTGCAATTTTGTTGTTGGTTATTCCCTCCCCTTCTTCGACAATGTTTCACTCACTTTTCCCCCCCTCCCTGCTTATACAATGTTTCACTCTGTTCCGGTCCTGGCCCACAACTCGAGTCTCTCCTGCCTCTGCTTCCCAGCTCTCTAGGTCTGCAGGTGGTGTCCTACTGCACCTGGCCAAACTGTCATAATCTTCAAGCTAAACATGTTCTCAAGGTTTTTCTTGTTTTGTTTTGTTTTTGTTTTTTTGTAATGTTTGAGGAGTTGAGAAATTACTACATTAAAACATTTTGCTACTCAAAAAAAAAAAATCGCATTTAGGGTTACTAAAATCAAGTTATTTCCGTAGAATCTACCTTAAAGCCTACTTCCTCTCTCTATTAATAGATCCCTTCATTTTTTTACTCCTTAGGACTTTGATAGCATATACGACAATTTACATAATTCTCACCCCATTTTCTCAACAATCATTTGGCACATCACTAGTTTGAGACCCTGTTTGCAAAAGACAACTGTCTTGAATCACTCATCATTTTGCACCTATTATGTTTACAAACTAAAATTGTATGTATATTTGTATACAAAATATATGGAATATAAGATATATATTAGCAATTCTTTTCTGAAGATATTCTAACATCTTCAAACTTTTGACATTATAATTTAACTGGTTTTGGGTTGTTGATAATATATATATTTAAGGCTGGGAAAATGGCTGAGTTGGGAAAAGTCCTGCTGCACAAGCATGAGGACCTTAGTTCAAGTTCACAGTATACATACATATACAGAGATGGGTGCAGGTCATGCCATTGCTTAGTGAGTGGGTACAGGCCGACCCCCTGGGTCTCCATGGGCAGGCAGTGTAGCCAGTCAGTGAGCTTACAGTTAGTAAGAAAACCTATGTCAGAAAACAGTGGAGAGCGATATAGGAAGACATCGGCAGCCTCTTGGCATCATGTGCCTCATGTGCGTACATGTGTCCACTGCATAGACAACATGAGAAAGCTCGTTAAGACTAGATCAGCATGCCTGGTAATGTATGCCTATCGTCTAGCACTTCGGAGGCTAGGGCCATGAAGCCATTCATGGCTACTTAGAGATCCTGTCCCAAAACAAAAACCAAAGAATGGATCATCATTCTTACCCAAGACCTTTTACTGGGTCATTGTATCAGATGTAAATCAAAGAAATTATGACAGAATTCTACCTTTGTAATGTGTTTTAATGAAGCCTAACTTAATAACAGTATTTTCTTCAAAATAATAAAAGTTTTAGAACTGGAAATAATAAGCTGTTTTGAGAAAGTAGTTCATAGATTCCATTGAGAATGTAATTAAGCTGACCTGTGTGGTAATTTTTTACTGAAATAATAAATTGAGAGATTTTTATGCTTTTTTTTCCACACTTTTTAAACATTTATTTCAGGGTCTGGTGTTGAGGTGCCATAGTACATGGGTGGAGGTCAGAAGAGAGCTTTGGGGGGTTGGTTCTCTCCATGTACCATGTAGGCTCTAGACTGAAGCCATTGGCTTAGCCGCAAGCACCCTTCTTCCCCACTGTCATTTCCTCTGCCCTGGGCCCCACCCCTCACATCTATATGGTTCTAATTTCTGGATTGTTTTGTTATGTTTTTGAGGTAGGGTTTCACTTTTTTCCTGAGGGCAGACTGAAACTTCGGGGCTCAAAGGGCCTTCTGCCCCAGTCTCCGAATTAGTACCAGTTACTTCATGTGCATACCATCTATGATGCCTTGCTTTCACTGACAGTTTTTGATTAGTTCTTAGTATTTTTATCACATAACACTGAACATGTGTGTCTGTGTTGGTTGATTCTTTTACTTTTAAAAGCCTGTGGAAGACATTTGTATTGAGGAAGAGTGTTCAGTTGCAAAATAGTTCTTTATATGTAAATGTATGTTCTGGATCTTTTAGGTAAAACATGTTCATAATTAAAAGAATCTTTGTCTTTCAGAACGTTGACTTTTCTGGTGGGGAAAAAATCCAAGGTGCTTCAGTTCTAAAAGACCTAGAATTTGTTACATGTTCTGAAAAATTATGGTTCTGGTATGTACTTTTACTTTATCCTTAAGTTGGCCATGTTATATATGCATGCATGTGCATACGTCTGTAACTTTTTGGAAAACAGGCTGTTTGTAGAACTTTCAGGATATGTTGAGAAGTATAATTGACTGCTGGAAAGATATAGCTGCTTCCCAAATGATTGAGGGTTTTTTTGGGAGAAGTTACATAATTCTAATCAGACTTTATTTGGGACGCCAGGGATATAGGTGTTGGTTGTAAGAGTGCTTTACCTGGCATATATAAAGCTCTAGGTTCAAAAGCCAGAACCAGTTTTGTTGTTACTATTTAAAGTATGCCCTGTAGTATCTCTGTGGATGTCAATATGATCTTGCTGCCCTGTTGGACTTTGTTGTTGATTTTAGGAGCACATAAATGATGTTTTTCATTCACAAGTAATTCAGACTAGAAAGACAGCATATTTCAGGATATGGATTAAAGCAGATCTGGTTACCTAGTGACGTTCCTCTAAAGATGTATCCCTAGAGAGCTTAGTGTGAGTAAAATAAATTTGGTTTTTCTTTGTTTTGTTTTTTATTTTAGGGGGCAGTGTTTGTCTTTGTAG